AGAGCTTTTGCAGTTAAATCATCACGACCAAGATAACCAGCAAAGACGCCGAGTCCTCCTACACACAATTCACCTTCTTCATCAGTAACAGATGATTGTAAATATTCGCTCATAATCATACATCGGTAATTGGAAAGTGGTTTACCAATTGATATGCTTTGGATGTTATCCACGAGATTAACTCTATGATAGGTACAAACTATAGTTGCTTCAGCTGGACCGTAAAAGTTCCACAGTTCACAGTGATCTGTGAGTGAACTTAAAATTAAGTTAACCAGATTGACAGAACATATTTCCCCTTTAAAAAAGTAGAACGATAATACATAAAAAAGACATTCGCTGGAAAGATTACATACCTCCAGTACAAACGCATCGTAGACTTGTTGAGTATGAGCTATCATTAGAGTGTTTTAGAAAACTGAACAAATGCTGAAGAATAGTTGGTACACTAGTAAAGCACGTAACATTCTTCTTTTTGATGACATCAGCAAGATACGGTAGATCAATAATTCCTCCTGGATGTAACATTACAAGTGTAGCTCCAATTATTAATGTGCCCATTATATCTTGGACATGTGTATCAAATGAACAACGGGATATTTGCATAATTGTATCTTTCTCCTTCAATACATCACCACATACTAATGAATACATGTACCGATTGAAATTCCGACGTCGCACTTGAGCCTAGAAAAAGACAAACTATTTTTATACCATAGAGAGAGATATCGTTTTATACTAACTGCTTTCGGTGTTCCTGTTGAACCACTTGTGAAGATGATGTAAGCCATATCTTCCGCTACTACTAAAACATTTGATAGTCCATCAGTATTACTGTTATCTCCTCTCTCACTATCCGACACTATTAAATCGATATCAAGTAATACAATATTAGGATGAAACTTAGTCTGAGTTTTATGATGAACAAGTACAAGACGACTTCGTGTTTGTTGTGTGAGTGCATACAAACGATGTTGTGGATCTCGAGGTGACAACGGACAATAAACACCACCAGCCATTTCAATTCCCATAATACCAATCACCTAATCAAAAATCAACCTCAAGCTCACATTAATTGTTACTCATCTTAATTAACTTACCATTGACAAACTTCGCTCAACACATTGACATACGATCTTACCTGGAGCAATAAGATAGTCATTAAGAAGAGTGAAAGATAAGACTTGAACATAATATAGAAGTTCACAATATGACAATGATTGTTCATCTAGTTCAACTGCTAATTTTTGTGGATGTTTTATTACTTGATATACAAATTCATGATGAATACAAGTGCGAGGAGATGAAAATGATATTTGTGTATTATTTAATGATTGTAAAAGTAATTGTTCATTTGATAATATTAATGATAATTTATAGATAGGTTTGTTCATTTGATTATCAATAATAGATGTAGATAATTGATGTAAAATGGAATGAAATCTTTGTGAAATTTTCTCCACTGCCCCTCTATTGAACAAGTCAAGTGATCCATTGATAGTGCATGAAAGTTGATTGATGTTTATATTATGGTGAATTGAAAGAGAGAAGTCGGATTGACTTAATATCTTAGCTTCATGCATATCGAATGAGCATGATCCCGGAACTAGTTGAGAATCACCAATCATCATTGCATTGTTGTCATTGTTGCTCGTGTATGATATAAAGTCTAGAGATATGTCCAAAAATGCATATTTTGAAATATGTGGATGTCGATTGAGAATACGTTGAAGAGGAAAATATGAATATTTCATACTATTTGTTGTCATCTCTCGAACATGTTCAAGTAATTGATGAAAACACCAGTGAGGATCTAATTGACATCGTAATGGAATCACATTCTCAAACAACCCAATGATTGATTTGAACTCATCTCTATATCGATTATTATTGATGTTCATAGCAATACATAGATCTGTTTGTCCATTAGTTAATTTAAATAGAAAAATGAAATAAATAGCAAATGTGAGATGTTCAAGTGAGATGTTGTTTGATGATGCATGGATGAGAAAGTCATGTGAGAGATCTTGACCAAAATCAAAAGAAACTGATGTTCCACGACCAGTTCGATGTTCATTCGAGAGACGATATCGATCATATGGTAATGACAAAGGTTGATCAAGTTTACAATCATGTAGAGCATCAAGCCAAAACATACTTGCACCAGTCATTGACATTTGTTGTTCAATAACAGCATCTATACAATCAGAGAGGATAATGTATTAGAAAAGAGAAAAGTAGAAGTAGTATTTATATTTACAATCGATATAACGTAGAGTAGTGTTGTCATCATATGATAATTGACCTGTTGTATATGCTTGATTAAGATCACGAAGAAACACTTCCATCGACGGAAAATCAAATTGAGCATGATGAAAATTGAAAATCAGTAGATCTTTATCGGAAAGTATATCATTTGAAGAGATTTGTTGGTAGTAAACAAGATGACATCGAAAGACAAGACCTTGAGCAAGATCAAAAAGGTGCGGATTACGTCTCTGGTCGTGTAAGATTTGATTCAGCTGTTCATCTGTTTCATAAGTGCTTTGAATAAATGTAAATAGTTGTCTATTATTATCGTTCATATCAACGATTCTTTGTATAACTTGGTTCTTTTTCGTATCAAAGACAAGTGATGTATGAAGTGATTGATGTTTTGGGACAATTAGTTGGAGAGCATGAAGTAATCGTTTTATTGATAAAGTATGACCTGGTTGCAAATGATAAACAAAAGGCATATCATAGATTGCTATTTGTGGTTTGTCTGGATCGAATCGAATTCTTTTGTCAAACCATATACGAGCTTGTGCATAGGAAGCTGGTGCTGAAACAATAAAACGTTTGTATTAAGAGTTTATTAATTTTGATTTAATAAATAGAAACTAAAGATTTTTATATTTTGAAATTACTTATCATAAATATGGATTATACATTGAACAGTAGACTATTTTGTATCTAAACCTATCCGTCTTGGATGATAATCATATTAGAAGGTTTTTGTATAAATATTTTTCTGAATCTAATGGCGTATAAATTGTAGCAATCGAACACGAGTGAGACGAAATAGTTCGTGTTTAGACGCACCCGAAATGAAGTTTTAAAAAGAGCAGAAAAATTAGTGTCAGTCCATCTCAGATTCGAATAGAGATATCACCATCATAATATTATAATAGTCTTCGCCTAATCTGGCAAATGGATTCAATTTTTAACTTTTATGGTCGAAGGAAGAGTTTCTGTTAGCGTAGGCTTAGTTCCGCCAAACATTTCATGATCGGTATTAGAGCTAACGGCGCCTGAAAAATGTAATGGCTAAAACCATTTCACAATGAGCTTTGATCAGTTTCGAATGGGTGGTATCGCCACTAATTATTACTCTTCATAAATAGGGAATTATTTAATTGTATTATTTCGATTTAGTCTTTGTAAATCACGAAAACTAAATTTAGTTACTCTTTACTTCAGGGAAAAGTATTTGAACTTTGACTATTTATTCTCTTTCTCGTAAAGAAGAGTACAGTAAACATAGATTGTTTGTTTGTTTGCTTGCATGCTTGTGTGTCCGCATGGTCAAAAAAACATCGAAAATCAATTTTTCGAAAAAGACATTTCTAGAGGTATTTCGATGCGAGGAGTTCGAATCTGAAGTCTATTGGGTGACCGTGGGGTAGTGGGTGGGTGAGGGTGGGTGAAAGGTCAAAAAAACATCGAAAACCGATTTTTCACGGTTTTCAAATGTTTTTTCAGTAAATATGAGGAGGATGCATTTCTACGAGAAAGAGCAAAGCGAGTCCTCGGACGCGCGTTACTTGTTCTACAATTTAGATTTTGAAAATATTAACTAATAGAGAATATATTAATATAGAATACATCCTGTTATGTTTGATTATTTCTACTCAATTCATTCTTTTGTTCAGTATTTGGCGAATAAGGTTTTCAGAAAAGTTATTGTAAGAAGCTTTATTATACTGGAGACATCATTTGCTAGTACATCTATACGAATTTCATTATTATACATTCAAAAACATCAGAATGGATAGACATACCTTCATTTGTAATAGTCGGTAATCTGTGAAAGATTACCTTTTGTATTTCTTCGATTTCTTCGATTTCTTCGGTTAAATTAAGTGATAAGTTGCTGATAAATATACTACTTTGATTATAGATTGGCTCGTCTACAATCGAAGAACAAAAGAGTTGCGTCAGGATATGCTGGAAACGCTTTGATAGTAGATCGATTTCCTCTTGATGTTTAACTATATCAGCCGAACAATTAAGAAAACATTCGGTACTCCGCGTATTATGGTCATGAGCAATTGTAAGAGAGATATCAAATAGTGATATATCGTTCTGGTGATTCAAATTTCTATCATAGTAACCGCTTACAACTGAACCTTCGCTCAGATTTAATTCGATTGAGTTTTTCTGTGTAATTGATAATATTAAAGGTTCATACTGGAAAAACATTGAAGGTAATGCATTGTTTTTTTGTGTGCCTTGGGAATCAATAATTTGTTGATAAGGTAAGGAACTATGTACGAGGATTTCATTGCTTAGCTGTTGTACTTGTTCCACAAGATGTTTAAATGTATTATTTGATTCAATTTTGACTCGGTATAATAGAAGATTGACGAACATACCAATCATGTCTTGTAACTCTTTCTCAGATCGATTGGCTGCACTGCTTACTACACACAAGTCATCATTATGGTTAGTTAGTTTAAATAAGAATGCATAGTAACAGGCAAGAGACAATGAAAACATTGTCACGTTGTTGGTTGAAGCAAATAACATCATTGCATCAACAACATCTTGATCGATAGTAAATGCAGTTGTATAACCACGACCAGAATCAAGTCGATCAGTTCGACCTTCACTGGGCACCAAATATCGTATTTTATCCCAGTTGTATCCATGCATAAGATTAGCCCAAAAGCGACGAGCCTTGTTCATCTTTGACTCTGCATTTGTGTCTGCTAGCAGTGTTTGTTCGTACAATGCAAAGTCAATGTATTGTGGAACTGTTAACACTGGTTGGTGATATTCATTTGTCCAGCATGCTAGTTCAAAGGCTTTCAGAAATGGTTTGGTTGAGCCGAGATCAAATGCGATATGGTGAATCACAAAAATAATCAGATCACTTTCGTGTAGTAAATCACCACGATTCTCGGGAGATCGTTGTACTGCATGACATCGTAAAACTTTTCCATTTTCAACATCGAAATATTTTCCAATTCTTTCATTTTTCAGTAGATGGTCAAGTTGTTCCAATGTGGAAACACCTCGAGAGTGTTGAAAAGAATAGATATCGTCGGTGAATGGTTGAATATTTTGCTCGATTTGATTAAGTGTTGGACTGAAACGAACGGCAGTGCGAAGAACTGTATGCTGCTGTATCATTGATACTAAGGATGAACGAATATGTTCTATAGACACTGAACCTCGTTTGATCTGCAATGGTACCGTAATATTGTAGATAGACAACTCAGAGGCACTAAAATAAAGTTTATCATCCATGTAGATACGCTGTTGAGCAGATGAAGCTATAGCTTCTGTTTGACTAGAAATCATCAGTCGTTGTGCTTTGTGGCCAGTGGTCACGGCTGTTGACTTCTTGTTTGGAAACATTTTCGTGTAATTAATCAATAGAAAATATCAATTGCTAATGCAAAAAGCCGAATACAATCTAGAAATTATAAAGAAATAAGAAAAAAGAACTTGAATTTGAATACATCTGAAATAAACTCAACATTATTAAGTTTGCTATTTATTGTTGTAATTTGAAAACTGAAATATTGGGTAAGAAGAAAAACAATTATGTTAGTTTGATAGTGTTAGTATATAAGTTGATTAACTATTAGTAAATATTCACACAAAACATCTTTTTTTCAGAACAAATATCATATAGAAATACATATAAAATAATCAAAGAACTGATGTTTTTTTCAATCATCAAAATATCGAATTTTCATTAGTAAATTCAACAACATGGAGAAATTATGATACAGTATAATATCGCAATGCGTATAAAACTCAATGTTTTAATCTTACTTAATCAAAATGAATGGAGAGAGTAGAAAGAATTCTGATGACTTTCATAAATAACATGTAATATTGACATTGAGAGTGAAGAAAGATAACAAAATGCTTAGTCTAATGCAATTGATAGAGAAAATATTCATCTTAGTTTTATAAAGTTTAAACTATTCTATAAAATTGTGATCTAAACTTAATGTAGGTTATCCCATAGAATATTTGTGAAAACCACTAATCCTTGTACTACCAGTCGGGATCATTTATTGGTCCCATTCTCAACCATCTGAAAAATCAGTAGAAATAACTGCAGTTTCCTGTTTTTTTTACAGCTATTGATGTATCTCATGAGTTAATTATAACAGTATTTAACTCTTGGAACACGCTAATAGGCTTCAAAAGGCAAGAAACTGCAGTTATTTCTACTGATTTTTCAGATTGTTGAGGATGGGATTAAAAATGATCCCCGCTGGTAGTATAATGGATGATCTGTTTTAGTTGTTCTATGGAAAGGTTTTTGTAGATGGATATTTTTCTTTTGTAATTGACTGTAAAATAGATAAGATATTTTATTTAGAGAAAACAGTAGTGGATTTTAAGAAAAAAAAAGCTTATGCGAAACTGTATGTTTCTCGCTACAATAGCTACTGATGCTGAAGTACTAAGATTTATAATTTTTACTTCCGAATTTCCTTAATTTGATGATTAAGAATTCTACAAATATTTCTATAGTGTGATATCTGATAAATATTAGAATTAGTAAATAAAAAATCGAATTCAAACTAATCCCACCATCGATGTTCGGAAAGTGGTAATGTTGTTATTATTCTTGATTTTAATCGTCCAAAAGAAGCAATCGAATATCGATAATCATACGATGATCTTTGAGTTGTCTTATCATTTCATGTGCAATGATTTCTTCTTGTTTGTTGCGGACAGCCACTAATTGATAAAGTCCACGTGGTTGAATACGACGCATTTGCAAAATCATGTCACGAGCATAAGCAGATGTCGATGTTGTTGATGTGAGAGATGGTATTTGTATAGCATAAATCATAAGTGGTCTTGTTTGATTTTGTTGCTTATATATTTTGTGAATGAATAATTTATTTAGGTTATCAGTGTTAGTTGATGTCTGCTCTGTGATACAGAAGAAAACATGACTACTACGCTGCTGTGGATGTTGAAGACAGATGATATTCTCTATACCAGTGTAATTAGAGTTATGAGATAATTGTATTTCATTTTCTTTGATTAGATTAGTATTCATGTGTTCTTCTTTAGTAGTTGATGATACAACTTGATGTCGTTCATTGAGCTTATTATGAATTACTGTTCCGATAGTTTCAATAGAATATCCTTGAAGTAGATCAACTAATGGTATATAAACACTGGTCTCTTGTCCTAACCAGTTGTATAGTGAAAGAGCTGCTAATGAGTCCATACCTTGGCTAACCAATGAACGATCAACTAGAATACGATCAATATCAGCTGCACCTAGAATACGTGCTACAGCCATCTGAATTCGTTCAATAATAGTTTCTTTTCGATTCAAGTTCGAACCAGTTGTACTACTGAGTCCTGTTGATGTTGTTGATTCATTTGTGAGTTTCATTGTAGTATAGCGTTCTTCTACTATTTTATTCAATTGAAATATCGGTAGTTTGTGACGTCTTTCATATAATGTTTGCCAATTAACAGCAAAAATAACAGGACATGGACAAGTCTTTTGATTTGCATGGAAGCGTTCGATCAACTCGAATACAGCTATTGGTGGTAATACTTCAAAGCCATGTGTACTTTGTAAAGTGCTGAGCATATCTCGTTGTCGATGAAACATGCCTGCACCACTTACAGCAGGCAAGCTAACTGAGAGAGCAGGTAAACTTAGTCGAGTCATACGATAGTGAGCAAGAGCATCGAGAAATTGATTACCAGCATTGTAACCAGACGATGCCACTTCAAGTAGATGATTTCGAATTGATGAGAACATGAGGAAAAAGTGAAGAGGAGCATGAGTGAGCTGCGTTACTTGATGCAGAATCCAAGCACCACGAACTTTTGCTGCTAAAACATGTGTCAGATATTCTTGTGTCATTTTAGACAAAGTCCGGTCTTCTGCAACGACAGCACTGTGAATAACTCCTCGAACAGGATAAGAGGTTCGACTTAATTTTTCGATTAGGTTATATACTTGATCGAAATTTGTCACATCTGCTTGAACAACATCAACATGAGCTTGATATCCATTTGTTGTTTGTTTCAGTCGTAACCAATCGTCATGTTGTGGATTCGAAGTTTGTTCAAGCTCAGCTAGTGTTCGACGACTCATAAGAATAATACGTTTTACACTTCGTTTTTCTATCATCCACCGAGACATTGTCAATCCAAGACCACCAAATCCACCAGAAATCAGAATTGTTCCTTGATGGCAAACGATCGGAGGAAACATAATATCATTATCTAAATTTATAATCATTAGAATCATAATGACAGATTAGTAAAGGTTACCTTCGGATAGATTATTATGATGTATACTGTTCAAATAGAGTGTTTCATTAGAATTGGTTAGACGAACAACAGCTTTGCCCATAGATTGACCACTATTACATCTCATAAATGCATCAATCACTTGAGATGGTTCATACACAACTGTGGGTTCGATTGCTTTTAATTTGCTTTGCATAAGTAAATCAACCATTTCTTGAAGTATAGGGTTGTAGATATCTGGATGTTTTTCAAGAAGTAAAACTAAATCGATGGCATAAAAACTGCAATCGGATCGAAAGTCAAACATAGCCAATTGAGTCTTGTCAAAAACATCTCGTTTTCCCCATTCAACAAAATGACCATGGTCAGCAAGTAGTTTAATGGATTCTTGTAGAAGATTACCTGATAAAGAATTAATGACAACATCAACACCATGAGGTAGAATACTTTTCACACCATTAACAAAAGAAGCATCTCGACTATTAAACACATATTCCAGACCATAATGCTCACGTAAAAATCGTCGTTTTTCTTCAGTTCCAGCTGTAGCCAAAACACGAGCACCAATCCATTGACAATACTGTATACAAATTTGACCAGCACCACCCGTTGCAGCATGAATGAGAACAGTTTGACCACGTCGTAAGTGAACGCGATATTTGAGAGAATAGATGACTGTCAGACATATGACAGGCATAACTGATAATTGTTCATCGGTGAGAGGACACTCGGATGGAATACACACTACTTGTGTTGAGTCGACAATGACATGTGAATGGAATGCACCACGTACAGAGATGCCGACGACATGATTGCCTGGTTGAAAACTGACACTAGGACATGCACGTGTGATAGTGCCAACAAAATCTGAACCTGGTTCGGTGTCTCGATCTATATATGACTGATGCTCATCGAGTTGTGCAAACGGACGAGTATGTGGATATAGACCTCGTGCTTTCAATACGTCACGAAAGTTAATGCCTACACAGTGAATTTGAACTTCTACCATGCCTGGTATTAATTCTTTTGGTCTATTGTCGGAAGCCCATGTTAATTCAGTGAGAAAACGAGATGAAGGCACATAAAGACGGAATGATTGTTGATTTGCATCTTGTCGAGGAATAATACAAATCTGCTTTTGTTTTGATTGATCTTCTTTGTTGTCATGTGTTTGCAACATTTCATAATGCCATGTGATATGTTTGACTTTCTTTTCATTTATGTCAAAACGAAGAACAATTTCATCCGTATTCTTTGTATATCGTGAAGTTACCATATATTGTGCCAAAGCATAAGCAAGTGGCGATTCATTAATCATTGTTGTCGATACTTGTAGATCAATGAGCTTCAGTCGATGTTGTTCATATTCAACCATTAAACTTCGTACAAGACCAAGGAGTGGTGATTGAATTATATTGCAGTCAGAACCAATATTCAACTGCGCATGTCTTGTGATAATAAATATAAACGGCCGAAAAGTAGGTGATATTGCATGAATTATTTGAAGAAGTTGGATGAAAGTACCACAAATAGACTCTTCATGTTGTTTAAATGCCAAGTCGCTATTGTCACCGAGGGAAGTTTGTTCAAATGGCCAAGCAAAAACAATGTATAGTTGTTTATAGTTATTCATCATTGTTTTAAGTACAAAACGAATTGTATCAATCGTTGATGCAGATATATCCAAAAATCGATTGTTTGAGCATGGCAAAAGTGGTATGATGTTATGACCAAGACTTTCAGGATCATTTTTGGCAAATATTAACCATGCTTGATGTTTTCTTTCATCGAGTGTCTGTAGTACATTGTGAGACATTGTCTTGCGAGCGATAATTAATGTACTTTCATATTGACTCATCACCGTCTCAACATTTTCGAATCCACCAATTTCTTGTAAAACTGTACTCCATTGATGAATATTATGAAGTGCACGTTCATTACTCGATGGCAACCACCAATTATCGAGTAAACCAAAGATAAGATCAAAATAGAGAGGAACATCAGTTAATTCAAGTAATAAAAGAAGACCATTGGGAACAAGTAGATGACGAAGATTAGTTAACGATCTCATCAAATCTTCACTTTCCTGTAATTTATTTGCAGCA